CTCTCTCTCTCTCTCTCTCTCTCTCTCTCTCTCCTTCCCTCTCTTTCTCACTCCTTGAAATGCATAAGCAATCAATTGAATCGATGAATACTTTTTATTCAAATTATTTTTGCAAACAAAACTAACGCTAAAAATTAAAATTCATCATAAGTTAGAAGAAATTTTGTGAATAAACAGCGAATTTATGGTTCAAAACGCTTTTCTCACAAGTTTTCCCGTCGGATAATTATGTTTCTTGCGATACACTATACGTTCAATTCCTTATACCGTATATACCTGTAAAAGTTATACTGTATATCAAACACAGCACTTGTATACCTGAATGAGAGCACCGGTTGTTTGGACCAAACTGTTGGGTCACTTGCCATAACATTTTATCAGAAAACATATCTTTCGATACGATATAACATGCGATACACGAGAGGAATGTTGTCTTTGAATGAATGAAGAAAAGCCAAAAGAATATACACTTTTGTTTGAAAATGTAATCTGAATTAAATATTATAGCGAATAAGTCTGTGTCCACACAATTATAATACCGTAATATCAAAAATTCTCTGCCATTCCTATTGAATGCATATAATTATACGAATATATAAAATCCTAAATAACTAATGAAATATAAATCGTTTTTTCCAGATATCATATGCAGTATATAAATGGTAAGCAACAGAAACATCTCTGGCACTGAATGGCATCGCCAGTGAATGCACACAAAGTCGAGTCAATCATTTGATTGATTAGTTTTTCTCCAGTGATTAGTTTGAAGTCCATTATTCAAGCGCTGGATCTCTGATCCACACACTGATAGTCGTATGAAATTTGTATTAATAATACACTTATTTGATGCCAAATGTACTCTCGTATAGAAATATAATATTTCTTGTGTTTCTTTAAAATATGTAGTAATTTGTGTAAAATAATGCCTTTCGATGACTGAACTAAAGCTCAATCCATACATACATTCAATACAATAATTGCTTTCTTACCCAACGATTGATAAATTAATCGATGGATAAAAATCTGCAAAATATAATCAACAGTATTAGTGATGAACTGCTAATCGTATTGTATGTGTGGGGCTCTCGTTGAACAGGGGCTCAGACATCGGACCCCTGCCTAACACCGGTATCTCATCTCTTGCCTAATCTAATGTCAATGAAACTTAAGACAGAGAGTGAAGAACTCAATATTTTTAGGCAAATCTCTCTCTCTCTCTCTCTCTCTCTCTCTCTCTCTCCCGTCCAATATTTAACTCTATTTAGAGTTCATTACATATCAAACACGGAATTGTTATGCAAAATAAAATAAAACAAAAACACATTTTAACATTTTATTCTTTTTATTAGTAGTTTTAACTCTATTTTTAAGAATAAAGAGAATAACAGTGAGTGGAGAGAGAGAGAGAGAGAGAGTATGGTTGACAGGTTTATGCCGACAAATGTTGATATGAATTAATAGTTATGTAAATTTGTATTTAATTTCTTGTTTATTGTGTTCACTACTGTATTAATACAAGTCTTCAGACAATAAAGTATTGGCTTTTTATTTCTGTAAATTTTTATCAGTATTTTGTTGTTTTTGTGATAAATGACAGCAAAATGTACAATAAATTAAAAATTTAAATATTGTTTTTTGTTCAGCAAATCAGTCGATATATTTATGCGGAAAAGTTTTTAGTGTTGTTTTTTGTTGAATTATATTCTGTCTGTTTTGTCTGTTAAGTGCACTTTTATTCAATAGCTTGAGATCCGGTGTTTAATGTTATCATATGCTAAATATTTACATCGCTATTAATATTCATTATTCACATGACATTTACATGGATGCGTTTGTTTCACATTGTTTCTAGTTATATTATAATTTATTAATGCTTTAATTTAAATCACTGTTAATTGAATGTCAATGTGTTTGACTGTCTAATGAACGTACGATATATGATAGGCAATAGTGAAGCCGTTTATGACTATATAATTAAAGTCCCGTAGTTTGCGATTAACGGCAATATTTCATAAATAAAAATTTATTTTAAACTAAACACAAATCATTTTTTATTAATTGCTTTGACTTTTATATGTTTAAAATTCAATTTTATTTTTCTGTTAATCATTTAAAAGATTTTTGCGAATAATTATTAATATTTAATGCGTTTATATTTACTTATATTAAGTAAATATGTAAATAAAGCATTTTTAAATCATAATTACAATATTTTATAACTTTAATTTTTATAAACTTACTATCGGTTTGAATACAATATAATGAATTTTGAGGAAATGTTTGCACATTATAAAATATAATTAATTTACATATATTTTACACTTATATTCTACATTGATTTAATGTAATTAGTATTTAATAATTATTACTCATATTAACTAAAATATTGTAAAAATGGTATCTTTTAATCGCTTTCAATGCATTTATTTAAAGTGATTTGTTATCACTTCTGGATTTAAAGTCCAGTCAAATATAATATATTACATTTGCTTTCAATTTATACACAATTTAAATGACTTCTAGCTCTTTATACAAGACATACAAATACTATTTGCAAGCGTGACATCAATTGCAGATACAATTGATTACAATTTAATACAATTAATAACAATATGTAAGTTATATTTGGCGCACATTTGGACACTTGGTTTGCATTTCAAACACACAACCAATGAATGCATGGATTGAGTGATGCATTACATCATTGAATTGCAAACACAATAAACACTGCATTTAATTGTCATTTGATGTGATTTTTATGGCAATTGATTGCACTTTGAATGCAGTGTTTGTGTCAAACAATTCATTCAATTCAATGCCATTACTATTGAATCGGTTTATCATTCAATTCAATGGGAAACAAGTCTTCAGCCAAATCGGGTCCGCTATATATCACCGATCGGTGGCCAGCGGTTGAGCCCTCGCTATCGACGACCAAACAGTGGTCACAGCCGTCGATATTTACCGCCATTGACCGCAAAGACCCGCAACGCGTGCGACAACTGATCCAAAGCGGACACAATGTGAACAAACGGGACGGCAATGGACTGACAGCTCTTCATTTGGCGGCCATTAATGGCGATGAAGAGTGTGTCCGAGTGTTGCTGTCGTCGGGAGCGCTGATCCAGTTGTGTCCACTCAAACAGACAGCCCTCCACTTCGCCGCCCAAAACGGCACCCAAACAATGGTCGACGTGTTGTTGGACTTCGGATGTGTCCTCAACAGCAAAGACTCGATGGGATCGACACCTCTGGCCAGCGCTGTCGAGATGAACAATACGGACACTGCGGTCGCACTCTTGAGACGGGGCGCCACTCTTGAGCCCATCGTTTGTGTGGCAGCCCTTCAGTACGGGTTTGTCGATCTGTTCCGCTGTCTTCTCAACTTCAGGCCCGCTATCGTCGACGCCATCGATTTGAACGCAGAGTTTCGCTTCACTCGAGTCACAGCTATTGGTCTGAAGATCTTATACTTCGCCGGCTTTGCCATCGACGGCACACTTGTCTCGCGTATCAAACCTCTGGATTGGAGTGACTTCTGTCTGACCGGACGAATACGTCTTCCGCCCCATCACTACAGTCGCGACAAAGACTTTGAAGCGTACGACCGGTTTGTTGATTGGATGGACGCCAGGGATCAAGTGATGTCATTGAAGTGTATGTCGCGGATCGCCTTCAGGAGGGCCTGCAGTGAGACCTCCGTTGGTATAGTATTGAGTGATATAAATATTCCTAATAGTGTTAAACAGTATTTATTGCTAAATGATGTCAACGATTGAAATGATTGACTATAAAACGGACGGTCAGTGCTATCAGTGCTATCAGTGCTATCAGTGCTATGATATCATCATTTGTTATCATTCCTTCACAGTCTTCCTCCGCAACTGTTGTGCAAACAAAGCAATAACTTTTTCATCACTTATTCTTATACTAGAATTGAAATATTTTATTAATTGTTATATTTTTAGTCATTATATTATTTATTTTAATTATAATTATATTTAATGTTACAATTATATTTATGTATTTTTTATTATATTGATTATAATTCTCACAATTTATTCCCAAAGACTAGACTTATTTTAAAACAAAAAATATAAGGTATTTATTATTATAATTTATAATTATTTATAAAATAAATTATTCGCTAATTATAATCAAAATTATAATCTAGAAGAAAATATACCATATTTTATGCACAATTTATTGCTAATATACTTATGGATGCATTGAATGTGTGTCTAAGAATTGATTACATTCTTGTGATCTGTCTCTACATTGCCATCGATTGTCACATATTCTGGAGATATCGCGCATGTATTCACACAATACTCGTTTTGCAACCATTCATACCAATAGACTCTTGTTTTCAATTTACAAAACAATACAATTTTATCATTTAATACTCAAAACAAATGCCAAATCTATTGGAAATGTTTAGTTACGAAAAGTTTGCCAAATATTTAACTCACTTTTTACTATTATTATTGATTTGGGCCACAGTTTGGTCACTGACGGGCGCCGAAGCCCTACCACCCGATGGATATCTGTTCAATCTGTTGGTCGTATTCACATTGTCTGTGATTTTTGGCCAAATAATATCGATGGCTGGACTGCCGGCCCTCTTAGGGATGCTTATCATTGGATTCCTATTGGGAAACACTTTGGATCTGAATCTGAACAAGAAGTTGTCGTCAGTGTTGCGGTCATTAGCTCTGGTCATAATCCTATTGCGCGCTGGACTCCAATTGGATCCCAAAGCCATCATCAAGTTATCGGCCGTTTGTTTTCGGCTCTCATTCATGCCATGTCTGGTCGAAGCCTTCACTGTCGCCGTTGTCTCCCATTTCTTACTAGACTTCCCGTTCGTATGGGGAGTAATGTTAGGCTTCGTGTTGGCGGCCGTTTCCCCGGCAGTTGTCGTTCCCGGACTCATAAGTCTTCAGGAAAAGGGCTACGGAGTGGACAAAGGAGTGCCAACTCTGGTGATAGCGGCGGCCAGTGTTGACGACGTTCTGGCCATCACTGGCTTTGGTCTGTGTCTGGGACTCGTGTTTGACACCAAATCCATGCTCTTATGGAGTGTATTGAAAGGACCGGCGGAAGCGTTCGCAGGCATTGTCTACGGGATAGTTATGGGACTTATTCTGTGGTACTTTCCACACAAACAAGAGTCACAATCACAACGAATTTCAATACTATTATTGTCGGCGATATTCGCACTGTTTGGCAGTATTGGTGCCAATATGGGTGGCGCCGGACCCCTGGCCTGTCTGGTCGTGTCGTTTGTGGCGGCGCTTAAGTGGCGTCAAAACCAGTCTATGAATGAAGAAATACAGAGCGTATTGAAGACATTTTGGCTAATATTTCAGCCCTTTTTGTTCGCATTGATTGGCACTGAAGTGAAACTGTCGGACATGAGGGCCGATGCCATCGGTTTGGCGTTAATAACGTTAGCAATCGGTTTGACATTTAGGACAATAACTGCTATGTCTGTAGTATTTGGCGCTAAATTCACGCTTAAAGAGAAAGTATTCATCGGCTTCTCATGGCTGCCAAAAGCTACAGTCCAGGCGGCCATCGGACCCATCGCTCTCGATATGGCCCGCGACAGAGCTGATCCCAAACACATCCAAATGGCAACACTTGTGCTCACAATAGCCGTCCTATCAATTGTAATGACAGCACCGATCGGTGCCATCGCTATCGCACTAATGGGTCCCAAATGTCTCAACAAATCTAATGCCAAGAATGAGATTGTTTTGGCAGATAATGAACCACAGAGTGATGTATTACTTAACCAACCGTTGACTGAACTAACCGTCTCTTAGATAAAAATGGCATAATTATTGTTCCCATAGACTCACTGTTTGTCTCTGACCATAGTTTACGATATATTTGACACAATATTCTGCAATATTCTGCAATATTCTGCAAATGTTTGCATTTGGTTGTAATGAATGGCAATCGAGATAACAATTACTCGCTTTAATCACTTTGTGTGTGATTTTGTGATAAATGAATGCTTTAATTGTGAACACATGAAGACTCGGCAACTATTGGTCCGATCGGACGATTGGCCCCCAAAAGTTTCATTATTTGCTGTTATTTTTGTTCATTTCTCCTCTCATTTCAGATAATATTGTTTTTAATTTATTTGTTAACAGATTTATATGAAATAAAAAATATGTCAAATAATTTGCTCAATGAATGTTTGTACCCTATTTTTGGTTCATAACATCGATAGTTCACAGCATCGATGAACAACTGTAATCATTATTTGAACTCAAATAAAGTTTGGAGAAATTTTTTAATTTCATTCAAAGACTAGTAATGAGTTTTACACTAAATATATACTGTATTTACAAACAATTATAAAAACTTAAATATTGAATAATATAATAAAATCTCTCAAATAATCAATGGTTTAAAAAAATTATAAAAGGGTTTATAAGAGTCGACAACGGATTGGATCCAAAATTGTGAGTCAAATGAAGAAAGTAATGGATTTTAAGCCAAAACGAGGGGCTCGTCGTCGGAAAAGCCCCGAAAGACCGGCGATTCGTCCTCTTCTTCTGTTAAGTGATTGCAAAATCAATTAGCAATCAATCAATTGTTTCAAAAGTCATGCAAACAATGGATACCTAAGCCATCGTTGGTGTCGTTTGTGGTGAAAGTGGCGGAACCCGAGCGCGTGTTGTAGTGACTGCTGGCGAACGACAAGAAGCTTCGTTGTAGTCGTCGGTGTCTCATAACAAACACTGTGAGCGCCACTACCAGTGCTATCACTATAACACCGATTCCCACCACAACTCCGATCGCATTCTTCTTCTCGATTATAACCGAACCTAAGAATACATTTCAAATGATTAGTGATTCAAACGATTGGCAAATGAATAAATCAATGAATTGATGTCATACTCGAAGCCAATGAGTTGCCGATAATGATTGTGTCCGAAACGGGTCCGGAGTATCCGTGCTGTTCGACGAGCGCCACAGCGATGTGATAATAGACTCCCTGCTGTCCGTCATAACTAAGTGGCGGTCTCTTCACTGTAATGATGTCCCCGTCGTTGATATCCGGCGTTTGGCTCACAAATACTTTATACTCATAACTAAATTATAACAATAATAATAATTAAAACAAATATTGAATCCATTGCGAAGATAACCTATGATTGAAGAGTTCTTTGGGCCAAAACGTGTCGTCGATTGTCTTCCATATGATATAAAGGGAACCATTGAGTTGTTGAACGCCATCGAGTTTAGACACTCGGGGTAATGGAGTGGGTGTCAGGCGTATGGTTGACGTGTATCGGGCGTTGGGTCTATCGGTTCCAACTTTGATGTCATAAACGGCACCGAAGTGTACGAATAGCGGCATTTCTATAGACGTCTGATTTCTTGGCGCCAATTGGAACCAATTCTCACGATTCTTCACCAAATCTTTGACACATATTCGATATGCGACCGAAGTGTCTGCCATACGATCGCACGACGAGTTCCACGACAGCACATACTTTGTCTTATTGTTGACTGTATTATAATATCGCAGATTCTTTGGCGGAGCCGTCGGGTCGTACTGTGTCTTCAAAATGGTTGAGTCGACGGCCGGCCCGACGCCAAATGGCTTCAAGACTCGCACCTGAATTATATATGATTCACACGATTGCAGACCATTTAACGTAAGATTCGTGTCATTTGTTTTGCCGTAAAGTTTGAGTCGTTTCTCTTCGATACCATAGAAGACACCAAAAGTCCAATTAATTTGTTTGAGTGATAGATAATTGGGTCGAATCCAAGTCAAGTGAAGAGTGGATCCCTCGACCACTTTGTCTGTAATGGCAACTGACGGTAGAATCACTCCTTTGGTCACCACAGATATGATGTTGTCTTCGACTCCATTTGACACAACAAAGCCGTTAATAATGGGAAGAATTTTGAACTGATAATTAACTCCTGGAGATAAGCCATCGACGGTTATCCACGTCTTATCTGTGGTTAAGTTTTTAATGAAACCCATGAAGTAGTCGTCGCACCGGTACTCGACGGACCACTTGACAGCATCTTTGGTCTCAGTATTCCATTCAATAGTGACACTAGAATTGGTAATACTCTTTGAATTTAAGTCCTTGATTGTCAAAACTGATCCAATCATTAGCGATGTCTTATTCGAGTACTGGCTCTCGAGGTTTAGGGTCATAGTTGTCACCCAAAAGGTATACTTAATTCCAGTCTCGAAGGGCTTATCGATTAAGAAACTGTTGGTTTTGGAGGCACTGACCGCTACTTTAGACGAAGGACTCGGAGGCGTGTAATAGATTCGGTATCCTTTGATGAGGCCGTAAGAGCTTATGGGTGGCGACCAACTCAACAGAACCCGATTCCCAGACATTTCCTTTGCTTTTACATCTCGTGGAGGACTCGGAGCGATGAATGCAGTGGTAATTGCAATGTACTGTAGGGGAGGGTAGGGCTGGGTTTCGGACACGAGTTTACAGTAAACGGAGACATTATAAGTGGTTCCGGGTTTGAGTTTATCAAACGTAAAGCTCTCGCTCTGAATCCAAGTAGTGTTGAGCCATTCACTGGTGTTAAGTCGTGAATATGTGGGCATAAACTGGAATATCCGTTGACTCGACGGTGTCTTCCATTTGATGGTGAATTCAGTGGCAGTTATGGTCTCGAAGTCAACCCTAAGATCATTGACTGCAAAATAAGTTTGGTTGCAGTTGTTCTCATCGGACGCGTCGAAACAGTCGGGCCGACGATTGCAGCGCTGATGCGCTTCAATACACTCACCGCTCTTACAGGTAAAGCCCGGACAGCGGATCGGTTTGATAAGGTCTGTGCGTTCGTTACTACAGCCCCACTCATCAGTTCCGTCGCCGCAGTCATCTTTGCCGTTACAGACGGCACTCAATGGCACACAACCGGCGCTATGAATGCATCGGAATTGAGAATCGGAACAATTTTTGGCGCCGAAGTGACAGTTGTCTTCGTCTTCGCCGCCCTCGCAGTCGTTCTGTCCGTCGCAGAGCCACGACTCCCAAATGCATTGACTGTTCGCGCACTCAAACATCTCTCGACTGCAACTCTCTTTGCCGGTCTGTGTGGGCACAGCCGGCACTATAGCGCTGGCGTTCTTGTAATCGCAGCCCAATTCGTCAGAATTATCGCCGCAATCGTCCACTCGATCGCAACGCCAGACCAGTGGCACACATATACCGACAGAGCATCGGAACCAATCGCCAGCGCACGAGTCCAATGGATTGGCTGTTGTGGTGGTAGTTGTGGTGCCAATGGATACTGTGCTGTTCGGACAGTCCTTCTCGTCGGTGTGATCCTCACTACAAATTAGACCATATGTTACATTTTGTTTCAACAACTATAGCATTCATAACATACCAGTCGTACTCTCCATCGCATTGCCAGGTCTTGAATATGCATTTCATGTGATCGCAAGAGAACTGCCATGAATTACACGAAGATCGGGAACAATTACTTTCATCACTTTTATCACGACAATCGTTATCGCCTTTAAATTTAAATAAACTATTTATAAGAAAAACAAAACTAATTACAGAACAGACAGACCATCGCATCGCCAGACGGCGAGAACACAGTCGCCATTATTGCACTGAAACTCGTCTTCTTTGCATTTGTTGTCTTTTGTCTTACAGTTCTCTTCATCGCTGCCATCGCGACAGTTGTCGTCCATATCGCACATCAGCTTTCGGTCAATACATCTGTGATTCTTGCACTGGAATTGTGTGCTTTCATTGCATTTCGGATATATTGATGAACACATCGCCAAATCTGTCATTAAAATTTGATTTTTGCATTAAAAATGAATAAACAATTAAAGTTACATAAAATATTGTGTAGTATAACGTATAGGCATTGAAATGGGTTATTATACGATACCTTCATCGGATCCGTCCATACAATCGGAATCAAAGTCACACTTCCAGTGACTGGGAATGCATTTATTGGATCGCTTGCATTGGAACTCATTCTCATTGCACTGATGGTCAACGCAATCCTTCTCATCGGATCGGTCGCCACAATCTAAGGGATCATACATTTTACTAATCGTTTGCCTAATAATAGCAATAAACTATTGATACAAACCGTCGTCTTTATCACATTTCCACAGCTTTTGAATACAAAGCTTATTATCGCACATAAATTCGTCGGAACCGCAGGTCTGGGCGTCTTTTTTGGGCTTACAAATGCCTGATTTCATCAGTTCCTCACCTCCTCTACAGCCACAAACCTCATTGCCTTCGGGTGTCTTCACCACATCTAAACCGTCGGGACAGAGACACCGGTGACCACCGAATGGCTTCATAACGCATAAGTGCGTGCAATTGGATGTCTTGTTATCGCTACACGTGTTGACACTATCGCTGAACTGTGGTGTAATGATCTTGAGATCCATCGCACCGGCGATTTCGCCCAAAACAATTCGCCGGTCGGAACCGTCTGTTTTACTCATCAAAATGATTTGCTGCAGATTCCAGTCGTCAAAGTAGATGTAGTTCTTGAACACTCCCAACGCGAACGGGTGTGGAGTCAACTCGCCTTCCGATATGTAACTCAAATGTTTGCCCTCGAAGTCGGCCGAAGCGATGTAATCACGTTTGGCGTCCACCCAATAGATCTTTTGCGTCAAATAGTCGACAGCTATGCCGTTAGGCCACGAGACCACCGACGAGTTGAACAACACTTTCACGTTCTCGCCGTCCAATTCGCACCGTATGATTGCGGGCCGAGTATTGCCCCAATCGGTAAGAAATATATATCCCGTCATTACGTTCAGCGCTATTCCGCGCGGTTTCTCGAGACTGGCTTTCGTGAGAATCGTTCGCCGCATTCGGCCCTCATTTGTGATGTCTGTGCGAATCATTTCCACTTTCGCCTGCTCTCCGTCCACGAAATACAAGTGATTATTGATTGGATTCAACGCAATGCCTTCCACTGATTCCAATCCCGTCTCCACCAACACTTCCGGCTGTGACTGTCGGCCGTCCAGACATAAGCGCATAATTTTATCGATTCCGATGTCAGACCAATAAAGACAGTTATGTTTGTGATCGAAGTCAGCGGCGATTGCGTTGATTAAATAGTTTTGGGGAACGAGACTCTCTTTCACCGGTTTGTCTTCATTGAGCATAAGTCGGGAAATGGACTGTCGCTGAACGAAGAGCACAAACTGGTCGTCGTGTTTGGGCACAAAAGGACAGGGAATGGGTTGCGGCGAATACCAGTCCTCTTCGCCGCCGAGACACGTATCGCCACTGATCTTACGATAACCTCGAGTTCTATTGAAAATTTTGCCGACTTTACACCAGTCGGGGACTGAGAACGGGTCAAAGCCGTCGACACTCGAGCGGTCGTCAAACACACACTTCGGGCCCCCGTTTTGGCGAATAAAGCCGACGTCACACTCGAAGTCTGTGTGACGACAGGGACAGTTCAATGTGGCCACCGGTCGCACGTATTGGTGGCCGTTATAGCACTTGTGATTCGCCACTCGTCGCTGAAACATCTCCCGTCGACCCAATAGACACCCGGAGTCCATGTCGTGCGGCGACCACTCCTTGTAATCGTCGGGCAAAACGCACTGCGATTTAAACACTTTCGTCAAATTCACTTGAATTACAGTCCACTCGTGTTTCCCCTCCTCTCGTGAGCCAAACAGCGTAAACACTGTTGTCTTCTCTCCGGGTTCTGTCATCAGACCGTAGATTCGGATCTTCTCTTTACTGAACTTGAGTGTCGACCAGTTCTCGCCATCGTCTACCGAATACTTCAACTCATTGGTCGCCCCGTTCTTCGAGTAGTAACTGATGGCCACAATAATGGCGCCAAAGTCGCCGAACGTGAAGATATAGTTCCCATTGAGCACCTGATGCCATGTGATGCCGGCGTCGATACTTAGGTAGACATTGGGTTTGCCTTTGATGGAAGTGCCGACCACTCCGGACGCCATAATGAGTCCCACGGCTGAGGCGCGCGACACAATTGGCGGCAAACGGAGGTGAGGGTAAAGGTATGAAAACTTTTGCGACAAATGGAGCGAACAGTTGCTGGCGAGCGAGCAGTCAATGTGTCCGCCGTCAGCGTCGATAAACGGCGGGCGAATGCGTTGCCATTTGGATCCCATATCCATTGTAATCAACGTTATCAGGTCTGCGATGGACTTCTTGGGCTCTTTCCATTTGGAAGCGATATATACGCCTCGAATGCCCGACACTTTGTGAATGTCGGCCAACGGTTCGTCCGAATTCCAGTCCAACCCAATCGGGTGTTTCGTTACGTTCGGCGCGAAGTATAGGATGTTTTCCAGTGATAGCGAAAATTGGAGTCCGTTTTCGCCTGATGTATACAAATGAGTGGTCGAGTCGTTGAACGTTAGACAAGCCATCACTACCTCTTCAGTCGCGTCGCCGATATAGTAGTCAATGACCACCGAATGGTTGCTCAACGGGAAGAGCGCGCGCCGAAAGTCTTGGCGCTGGTATGAGACCCACAACTGGTACGACTCGTGACTACCGGGGCTTCGATGGGCGCCAATCAACTTAAGACTTCTGGTGGCGAACAAATATTTGCCCGAAATTTCAAACTCCTTGACATTCGTTAACCACTGTTTGGTGTTTAACTCATTGGTGAAGAAATCGGTAGAACTGAGTACTGATGTCAAGCCATTTGGTTCGTGTCTTTGCACAAAAATGGTGTTGACATTGGTGTTGGTGTCGACGCCCTCCACAGCCCACGAGAACTGTTTCACCCGTTCCTGAATCGGACGCCAATTGGCGCCGAAGTCTTCCGATAAGTAGAGCTTTGAGTCCAAGTCATTGCCGCCGGCGGTCGCGGCGGACGTCATGAGCACTAACTCAACATTTGTCGCGTGAAGTGATATAGTCTTCGGACTGAACGCCAAATCAATTCTCTTAAATGTTTTGCCGTAATCTTTGGTTATAAACAGACACTTATTGAGCGAATCCACGAAAATATAGTGAGAATTAATGGCCGGAGAGATGAAGAATGTGTTGATGACGGCGTCGGACCCGTTCTTCAGCGTAAATGCCGTCACTTTCTCAAAGTCTTTGCCATAATTTCGCGATATATAGACCGCCGACGAGATGTTGGCACTCGTGGGCCGATTCTTCGCCAAACATATGATAATAGGCGTCGACTTTCCGGCCCAATGCACTGTCAACTGCTGATGACTGTCATTGAGCGCCGAAGTGGTCACAAATTGGGACAACTCGTCGGCGGCGGCGCTCTGTTTGGGTGGAGTCGGAGTATTGGACACCGAGTTATTGGCCGACCGTTTGTCACGATTGGCCGCGAAGTCAACGTCCGTCCCCTCAAAGAGCGGATGACTGCCATCACCGCCGATGAGGTCTTTGTTTAGCCATAGCTTTGAGTCGCAAATCAGTGCCAAAAGTGAGACACATATGAGAAGCGATAAAAACGCGTGACTTCTTAGACGCAAATGTGTTGACATGTTTGTTGTCGTGTCTGACAGAGGGATCAGATCGTCGATTCACACGTGGATTATATGACAAATACTAATGCATTCATTGATTGGTAATTCAAATGCAATTTAAATGACAATTAATTTGTGGTCTCAAATGCATTGTGTTTTGCGTTCAATGTTTTGTTTTGTAAACATTTGAGCGATTCTTAAATGATATGTCATTTGTGTATAAAGGGCTTAACATGTGATTCAATAGGCATTCACTAAGCATTGGTTAATATTGTGTTTAACGCCTTTTTGAAACATCAAATTGCAATTGAGTTTTGTATTGCAAATCATTGGTTGTCTCGGAGAGTAAATTATGTGAGAAAAAAGTTTTGCAAAACTTTAAAACTTTGAAACACTTGCAAAACTTGTTATGAAAGTTATGAAAGTATAATATAATCTCTAAATTGGATTCATTTTATTTATAATATAAATATTTACAAAAATGCAAATGTAATGCAAAACTATTCATTAATTGAACATAACTTTTGTACTGTTTTATACACATCTCATTAATTGAATATTGATTGTAAAATAATTATAAAATACCAAATAAACCACTAGTGATTCATACACAGTGTATCGACTATTGAAATAAAACATTGAAATTTTCAAACATATTAAAGTTAGTCAGACTAATTTAGTCTAGCAAAACCTAATCTAACAATTATATAAAATATGAAATACATACCAAATCCAGACTAATGTATTGAATACTTTGAATACATTGTATTGTATTGTATTTAAAAATTTTAATATTATGTGAATTGTTGCCAATCTTTGATCTAATGATCAAATAAATTAATATTAAAAAAGTTATCGTTTTGTGAATACATTTGAGATTTATTTAGTGAACTCATTGAACAATGGTTTCGCATCAGTAAAGCAAACCTTCATTTGATCCCGACTTTGGCTTTCGGATTCTGTCGCCATTCTTGAGGATCACGTCGTGAAGACTGAGATAATAATTGCGAACCAAAGCCAATGAAGTGCAGAGAAATTTGTAGAAATGGTGATCCCTGTGAGTGACGGCCTGTCGGTAGTCCTCATTGTATGGAAATTCAGCCACTTTTGCGATCAGTTCGGCTCTCTTTGTATAGTAGGTGTGGATAGAGTTGATCCGTTCGTGCATTTCCTCCTCAATGGAAGTCATCGCTTCCAACACATCCCTCTGCACTTCGACACCGAAATTGTTGCCGTCTTCGATGCGCGGAACCATCAAATGAATGCCAATCTTCAGATTCTGGATGTCTTCCGACAACTCATGGATGTATGGCTTCACTATTGAGACGAATTCTCTCAGAAACGGATTGCAGTGAACGACACCCAAAGGGAAGAGAACCGGTTTCTTGTCGTCTTTCAGAGCGCCAACACTTCCATCCACACCAGTCTTCTCCGACAGCTTCGGCCGCTTAGCGGACGGCTCGTCACCGTTGGTCTCAACAGCCATTTCGGGAACCGGTATATTGATGTCTGCAGTGATGTCTGAACACTTCACTTGGCATTTGTTTCTGTCGGCCAACAGTGCGTCCAATTCCAGTGCCTTCACTGCAAACTTTTTGGCCGCCACTTCCATGGCGTTGTCTTTGATGCACTCTTTAAGCGCTTCCACTTCTTCGCCCGTTTTGTTGGCCATTTGATTGGTCCCAATCGGCAGACACTTTACTCTTTGAGATGATTATGTTGTTTACAATTTCCGATTTGCAAATCAAATGCAAACAATCATTTTCACGATTACAACAATAATAATGTAATTTTGAAAATTTATTATTTAAATCATAGCATAATCTCATTCAAAAATTAATACATTTAATTTTGAAATTTTCAAACATTTGTTTTAACTATAATTAAACTATTTATATACTATTTTAATACGTGGTGTTTAAGCCAAAATCACCCAAAAATTACAATTCAAACGATCGTAAACTACAAAACAAACAACAATAAAAATTAAAGACAATATTTAAATCAATTTTAAAATTTTTAATGAAAAGTCAATTGAAATACAATAAAATTAATTCAATTCTAATTAAGTCAATTCATCAAATTTATTGGATTACAATTAAGCAAATTATGAATTATAGAAAATTTTAAATAATTTCAAATGTATTTAAATGAAAAACAAAGTGAAATGTAATTATAAATTATTTGATATAAATTTGATTAGAAATCTATGGAAAATTAGATATCAATTGAATGAAATGTTTATTTCATATTTTGAATGTAATCCAAGTGTTGGATCAGCATTTGGTGCTCGTCTTCAAACACTTTCCTATTGTGTAAAACATAAGAAACAAATTTAATTAATTGTGAAATCAATTAAAATGGATACAAACAGTGAGAGCACCCGGTGTTCAATCGGCCAATCGCTGAACCCATCATTGCTTTGGCTGTCGTTAACCACATCAACGCTTTTGTCCATCATTTTCATCACTTAATTAAATCAAACTCACAATCATTTGTACAATTGATTGCATAATCAATACATACATTCATCTCTTCTCTGGCGGAAGTGTTCCAGTTGTCCATCGATTGCCTTCATTTTGTGTCCAATATCTCGACGATTCTAACCATTGATTTCAAACAAAATCAACCATTATTTTATAAATCAATACAAAAATCAAAACCAAAATTACGTTATTAACCGTTAAACGACTGAATTGTCGACTGAATTCGTCAATCTCTTGACTAAACTGATCCCTAATTTAAAAGAGATAATAAAAAGTGAAAAAGTGGTCAATGGATCCAATGGTTAAGTAAATAATGAGTGAATTACACGACAATCGACTGTTGATTGCGTTTCTCTACCAATTGTTGTCTCAATCGTTGGACACAATCACGACTTCCAGTGAGTTGTTGTTCAAGAGTTGCCGTCTTTTCGCTCAATTCGTTGGACTCAGCCTTCAGTGAAGACAAGTGTTGTTCCAACTCATGGTTGGAATCGTTGAGAAGCGATGTCTTCGTCCGTTGATTATCCAGTTTTTGCTGCAAATCATGAGATTTAGACTGAATTGCGGCCAACTTTTGAGTCAACAGTCGTTTCCTGTTTTGCAATTCAGTTAACGATGTCTTCACTTCATTGGAATCGCCTTTAGATAAGTGTTCACTCATTTTGGCCACAAATTAGCACTAAATCTATAATTAAACCAAATTTACTGTCAATTGAATTGAATTCAAATGTATTTCAACTGAAATTACAGTCAATTCTCAAATGCCATACAATTTGTATTCAAAATCTGTTGTTTGGCTTTAATTGCGATTCAAATCGAATGCCAATCAAATGCTATACAAATGGAGTCAACAATGAATGCAATAATCGATCGGTTAATGAGTTAACTGTCAGTCAATTGTTGGTCTCAACCAATCACGTGATCGTTTGCACACAAATCAAACTACAGTCAAACCTCGTTATCAATTCACGCTATAATAGTTAGGAAAAGCATAATATAATCAGTTAATTGAATTGACTATTAATTAAATGGTTTGTTACACTAATTTTAGTATAATTTAAACCATATTCACTATAAATTACAAATAAAATTGTTATTAATATAGACTTGAATACAATAAAACCTATAAATAATAGAGTAATTACAGTCAATATTAAACTTAATTCAAATATTTTTAATGCAAAGTTAAATTAAATACAATCGAAAAAATTAATTCAATAGTATTTGTTGTGAAATTCCTTAAAATAATTAGTTTATAAATTATAATTAAAGAAAAAGTCAATTAATTTGAATGGAAAACAAAGTGAAATGTAATTATAACTTGAAATCTATTTGAAAACAATTAATAAAAAATAGAAATAAATGAAATGAAATTTTGTGAGTATTTTTGAAACAATTGGTTCT